CAGCGATACACCGGTGGTAGAGTTCAGAGCCATGATCGAGGAGGACTTCGGCCTCTCGGCCGCGTGCAGGCGGCTGCTTAAGGTAACGGTGTACGGTACCGCGCGCGCCCCGCTCGGTCGCGCCGGCACATGCACACGTATACACAAGGGTCTACCTGGCCTACGTAGCCTAAGGTATGGACAGACGTACAACCGTACCTAGCGTGGCTCCTTTGACCTTCCTCTCTCCATTCACCGATCGACGGCGCGGCGTTCCCGGGCCGAGCGGCGCGAATAATTAAAATTCGTCCGGCCACGACCAACGCACCTCAGACTTTTGTCTAACGCCATGGCCCTGTACGAAGAGCCACGACCACGGTCGTATATCGAGTATAATCCAAGACTCCGAACCCACAATTTAAACACACTATCCTTGTTGAAAATGACGCCGAAAAGTCCTGTACAACATTTTTCTACGATGCACAGTTTACCTGTAATAATTCATTGAAAATGGCCGACGCGTTTCGGGACTTCGTGAAGTCGGATTCTCAACAGGCGCGTTGGGTGGCACATAAAGCGCGGCGCGTCAACGCGACGGGGATGAAAAACTAATTTTTTTCAATCCTGAACTCAAGGAAAGAGTCAAGAGAACCAAAATTCCACTTACATTAACTAGATTAGATAGTTAAACATGCCCTTAATATTTTTTGGTTAAAGGTATTATTTCCTGTAAAGTATTATCTGGTTGCGGTAATACTTTGTTCTTGTAATTCCAAAAAGAATTTCTGGGCGGAAGAACAAGAATTTTTTACACAGATTTATCTAGTGGTTTAGAAATTTAAGGAAAACGACCATATATTCAATTTTATATTCGTGTTAATAAGACTTTTTCATTAAAGATAACCATAAATCTTTATTAATATTATCGCAGTAGTAGCATTAACTGGGAATTTTTATTGAATGTGTGTACAGTCGTGAATTGATTTTTTTACGAAATATATATTCCCATCATTGGCTTCTTATTCACCCTACGATTTCCGCTATTGACCGTCTTTATGTAGTACTTATTCATCCCATTGGTTTATTATTCACGCTTCTCTCAAGGGCTCTGTCCGCTGAACGGCCAGATTCCAGGAGATACATCTGGATTTCGTTCGGCAGGCTCGCCGCTAGATCGCGCGTCGCTCACAGCCCCGGGCTCGTAAGATCGTTAGACAAGACTCGGACTTAGACTTGCAGGTACCATGCGATCTCATGCGGGAACGCTTTACGGAACGGCGAGACGTCACTGCTGGTTACCGAGCCGAGTATGGCGTTTCCTGTGAGCGTGAGGAGCACATCAGATTTTACAGAAATTCTCGCAGGCGATGCCGTAAGAGATGAGAGAGATTAGAAAAATAAACTCTGTTTATTAAAATGCGCGGATGCACAAACACACCTATCGGCCGACTGACTGTTAAGGTGATATGAAAGTATCGTATATATACATAAAAAAAAAATTAAATTATTTATAACATTTTTCCTCAAACTAGGTGTACGAAGTACATGTTTCTTTTCGATTAGGGATAAACGCATCGAAAACTTAACATGTATAATCAATGTTGCTTATAAACATATTTAACGAAGAGAAAGAGACGAGGGTCGATAAACGTTTAATTTTTACACCTACCATTCTATTTCCACTAGATTAATGTATAAAACGTGAATTCCACTACTTCGTGTTTATTACTAGGGATAACAGAGTCATGGGTTACTAATGCAAAATATAAGCAATTTTTCTGTTTGTAGGGAGATAGGGAGATCAGCGAATAGACTTGCATATCTGGTTTCAAAGCTTATTAGGAAAAAAAAAAAATAATGGAGGAGATACTTCTTGGAAATGTCGGAAGCTGTTCCTTGTAAAGGCGGTGGGGAGTTTCCACCTAACCCGGTAGCTCCTAATGGAGTATCGGTAGCGATATATGGTCCTCGTTCCCCATGCATGGAACACCCCATGGATAGGGTTTAGGATTTCGATACGCGTGTCCACGGGTGGCGGCCGAGGCGGGCCGAACACTAGGGGGGAATCCTTAATACAGGACGAGCGCTATCGTCCTGCGAGAATGCTAATACCCACCCCGAGTATGCTAATTGGTAATAATTTAGCCCCACGTCGGTAGACCCTCCCGCGGGATTACAAATGAGAGATTCCGAAAATCCTCCAAGGGAACGAATTTCCGAAACGCTGCGAGAGGTGGCTCGTCCACCTTCACCGGAGGTGCCTTAATATGCGCGGCCAACGCTCGTCTCTCGTCCTTCGTCCTGCGCCATTAATAATCCCACACATTCGACCGACACACCGGCAGCCACCCCCGAAAGGATTCCCCGAATTCCCGGGCTCTCCCCTCTTCGCCTTAATAAATCTATCCATCTATCCGTCTTTATCCCTTTTCACGGATACTGGCGTTTAATCTCCTCGCAATCAGCCCTGCTTCTTCGGCTATACCTGGAACAGTCTCTCGGAACTTGCCGAGAGTCCTGCGGGATCCGCGTTTCTAACCTCTCTTTTTACCTCACGTACTCCTCCTGGCCGAAATAACACTTAGCCTTTGTTTTTTCTCTCTTTCGAAATTTATGGTCCCTGATTTTACGAATTAATTGGCTCCTGGCAAAAGTTCGTAAATCGAGCATTCGTACTATTTTTAGTATAAATTCCGATAAAGAGAATTTGTAAAGACAAAAGATCGGTGGATGACATATGATGCTCTGTGGAAGTCTAAGTCGAAGAGAATTGTTACCTATGGCTTTTAATTTTTTTTTTTACGAAATACCCTTCCGCGGTCGATACTATAGTTGTTTTGAGATTAACAATACTAAAACATGCTTTATATTTATTTCTAAAGTAAAGCAAAATCGTTGGCATTATGAAAATCGCCCAAGTAAAACCGTCTAGCTGAAAATGAAGAGGATATGTTCAACGTCGAATTGTTTTAAACACACTCAAAAGAAATTTCAGAAATTATCTTCAGGTATATTTACTAGAAAACGCGCAACCTCAATAGTTTTCTAGAAACACCTTATACTTTTACCAGAAAAATCGAGAAAAATAGAAAAGGCATATACAACACTCTAATCTAGTTAAAATGACCAAAATTCCTATTATTATACTGGCCTCTTTTTTTATTTATCCCTTGGTGCCCTACATGTACGCTCTCATTCCTGGACACGACATGGCAACGACCTAGCCGATTCTTAAGGATCGTAATAGCTGAATTTATCTGAAACTTTTAACCAGAAAAAATAGAAAGAGCATATATAACAATCTAATCCAGTAAAAATGATCAAAATTCCTATTATTATTCTGACCTCCTTTTTAATTTAACCCTTGTTGCCCTACATGTACGCTCTCATACGTGGACTGTACATGGCAACGTTCTAGCCGATTCTCAAGGATCATAATAGCCGGATTTATGTGAAACTTTTAACCAGAAAAACAGAAAGGGCATATATAACCATCTAATCCAGTTAAAATGACTAAAATTCCTATTATTATACTGTACCAAGGGTTGAATGAAATAAGAATTTCATTTAACCCTTGGTACACTACATGTACGCTCTCATACGTGGACACGACATGGCAACGATCTAGCCGATTCTTAAGGATCATAATAGCCGGGTGCAAGGTGAAAGTGTGCGAACGCGAGGCCAGATAAGAATGGCATGTAAAAGTCCGCGGTACACGCGGTGTGTCCTGCATTGCTCGGGCCGAAACGACACCGCCGACAGAATAACGATGGGAAAAGGTAGGGAGGATTGAGAAAGAAGGCGAATACACGTACCAGGGAATGCGCCCGATAATTATCGGCGTCTCCTTCTGGAGGTTGTCGAAACTGCTACGAGGATGGGGACGGATAATACCAGAGGCAACCGCAGAGTAATGGCCCGGCGTTAATTACCTCGTGTTACAAGCTCGGGGGCGAGGGCGGAAAAGGCCGACATTACCGACAGACACGGTTGTCGGAAGTAAGGCGATTCCGTCCCCCCATTTCTGCCCACTTTTCACGGGAGTGCGGTCGATCGCTGATCGGATTTTAATTGGTGGGCGCGGAGAACGGGCCCTATCTACTCGATATATCCTGCCGATAACCTGTGCCGGATTAACGGCTGCGGTAATATTAGCCCCTGCCTAAAGAACCATTCGAGAGAGATATCAAGACCCGGGAATTAAGCCCAAATTGGAGAACGATGTTTTCATTAATTTTCAGTAAATCGTCCAAGATACTTTTATTATCTCTTTAAATTCTCTAAATTAAATCTTTCGAACATTCGTAAATACCCTCAAGATATACGGCTGCGTATAGTTAAGAACACGCGTGTTGACAAATTAAATGCAATCAAATATTGACAGACTGTAGAGATAAATCCCTGGACGAGAGTCGAGTGATTTAACGGGATCTTAAATTAATGTTACCTCGAGTAATCCCACGGTGGACTGTTAAAAAAACCTTGCTATTTTACAACATTTTTCTCAGAAGGTTTTATGCGTTATATTTCTTTCACGAAAATATAACGTAACGTTATGAAATTATACATTTATTTAGACATACCCTGAGAAAGAATTTCCATTGAACCAAAGAAATATTTCTTTGAATAGTACCAAAGTAATATTCTGTTTAGTCAAATAATTGTTTGACTCAAATAAACTCGATTAAATAGGATGCAGCATTTATTCGGAGTTATGACAATTTATTTGAGTCAAATAATTATTTTTCGAATTAACAAAATATTTCTCTGGTACTGTTCAAAGAAATATTTCTTTAGTGCAATGCATTTTTTGTCACGTGTATGAATTTACTATTAAGACCGAATTTAGAATTGTAGTATAACCTTATGTACTAAAAGTGTATGGATTTAATGAATATTTTTAACAGCCTATAAATGGTCACGGCCCTTGTCGATTTTCGAGTAGGACCGAGGCCGAGAAATTTACCGGGCCGTATAGCTCTCTCCTCGACTTTCGCTATTCTGCATCCATTTAGGGTGCGTTCGGGTCTTGTCAAGGCGGGATATTGGGATGACACATACACGTGTTCGCGATGGACCATAAGACCAACGCGGCGCTATATCTCTTCCATTTTCGAAGCGATGAGTCACCCTCGTAGGTAGAGAGTTCACGGAAGTTGATCAGTCCGCGTGTACGAGTCTTCAAGAATAGGGTACGATCATACATCCGGCCAGTTGGTAGGATGTCAAGCACGACGATCGGTGCTCCGTAGAACTCGCATTTCCGCTAAGTGAACCGGAAGCCTGTGATTACGTTCCGTTCGACGAAGGTCGGATAGAACACGTGTTACACCAGTTGCAGTCAACCTCTTAACTCTAAAACAAAATTTAAACGCTAGAAAATTTCTGGAACAAAATTCGCTCTTGTAAATAAATCATTTCCTGACGAAGAACATGTAAATATATTCGCCTCGTCGGTGAACATTAACTCCGTTATTTTGCGAAAGTTTGTTACAATTGTCAATTAAGAGGTACCAACAGCTGAACGTCAATCGATAGGCTCAGTGGGTTACGAGGTATTTTCGGACTTGGCACGAACCTCAGCCGCGAGAGTAGAGACCTGTTCTACTCGTCGGATGATCATTCCGGATTATTGATAGTCTTGATAGGAAAATGTTTATCAAATACGCGGAGCTGTTTCTCGACGAGGGCTACGCCTCGGATTCGCAAAACGTAGGTATGCGTGTGCACATGACTGCTTCTGCGGATGTGTAATTGACAGTAACGCATTAACCACGTGCCGTATGATAATAAAGCTATGAATCAGCGAGGGAGGTTGCAGTCGGTTGTGGCGGAGTAAGTCATCGCTTGAGCAGGAGACATGGACGGGTTACTCCGCAAACGATACCTTGGTCTCGCTTCTTGTAACAGAGTTTCTTCAATGAATTTTCAGTTTTTGCGCAGATATTGCGCGCTTTATTCCACGTGGGAAAATATTTCACCCGGCGAAGATCCCTAAAACGCACGTTATCCGGCGTTTATTGTAGTGCAGATCATTAAAACGCACATTATTCCACATTTCTCACGGCGGAGATTATTAAAATACACATTCTCCAAAATATATCGCGACTAAGATCGATAAATCGCACATCATTCAACATTTGTCGTAACATAGTTCATTAAAGCGCACACTATTCCACATTTGTCGTAACATAGATCACGAGAACAAAATCATTTGTACGTTAAATGGTATACAGCTTGACGGAGATGATTAAAATACACATTCTCCAAAATATATCGCGACAAAGAGCGACAAATCGCACATTGTTTAGATAATTGAAACTCATGTCATTCGACAATTGTCGTAACATAGTTCATTAAAACGCACAATATTCCACATTTGTCGTCACGTAGATATTTAAAACTCATATCATTCGACAATTGTCGTAACATAGTTCATTAAAACGCACAATATTCCACATTTGTCGTCACGTAGATATTTAAAACTCATATCATTCGACAATTGTCGTAACATAGTTCATTAAAACGCACAATATTCCACATTTGTCGTAACGTAGATCACGAGAACAAAATCAGTTGTACATCAAATGGCATATAGCTTGATCGATGGCTTGGTTTAAATGTATTAGTGAGCAGAATCTTCAGGAAACTTATATTACACGGTGATAATTCTAAATTTTCGTTTGAATCGCAGGTCCAGAGGCTGGCCGAATACGAGAGGTACCTCGGCCAGGAAGCAAGGAGCGTGGTGGAGAACGGAAACGGCAGCGTCAGCAGTGGAGCCGTTCTCCAGCGCGGCCAGCTCGAGGGTGACCTGCACCGGATCCAGGAGCTCTTCCCTGGGGACAATCTACGCCTGCACGAGCGGGATGTCCTAACAACGGTAAGTACGGTTCGAGGCCTTCCCTCCTAATTTAATTTCACATAGAGGCTCGTCCTCGAGTCGCGCGGGTGAAAGCAAAAAGGAAAAAGGGGGAAGGAGAAAGAGAGAGAGAGAAAAAAAAGAAGAACGCGCATATTGTGAACACTCCCTTTGTCCTCGCGGTCGCGTGGGCTCGGTGCGTGAAAGCTATTTGCATATTGGGCGTGTGCGAGAGGAGGTATTGTCAAGAGCGTGGATTATGTCGGCCATTAGAAAGATTAGTTGGCGCATTTTGTACCGAGCCCTACGCACGCGCGTCGTCCCCTCTCCGAATAAGAGGGAACGAGTGCCAACGGAAGGGTCATGGACCACTCGGGGATCGCCAGTTTCGAAACGCCGGGGAAGAATGGCTGTTGTGACACCCGAAGGTGGTTTAATACGAATCCATATAGGGGGCACTGGAATTCGTGTAATCGCGGCTTAAGCATGTCAGTCAATCCCGCCCGGGGGAACGGGAATCCGCCGGTGGTCCGCACTCTCGCATCCATCACTCGGAGCCCTCTAAACGGGACTTGGATGGGAGCAATCGCGGTAAAACGAGATTCGTTTGTCTCTCAGAAAATGAAGAGCCTCATACGGAAAAGGAGCGGCGGAAACACGGGGAGGCTGACCAGAGTCCTCTCCCAGAAGTCCTTGAATGCCGTTAACAACGTGCCTGCCCCGAAATCACCCCCGAGGACGTTCCTCCTGGAAACGCCTGTCCAGTTTACCACGGTTTGTATTACTTGCATCTGGAATAACTAACATTGTAACTGTAGATGAACGTCTCAAATATCGATGTGCTTTCAAAGACCTGTAAAACATATCCTTCGGGTGTAAAAACGATTTTTCTAATTGTATTCGTCTTTCCTCGATTCATTGCAGAATTTCATCCGAAATCGTCTTCTGTTCGTGAAAGTCTTGAAACAACTGTTTTTGCCAAATATGATAAAATGTTCATATTATTAAAAACTCAAATTAAATATTGTTGCCAATTGTAGAGTATTTTATGGGATGAACTCTGGATAGTGTACAATTTTTTATGAGACCTTCACCTCTTTACGATCATTGTTGATTCCAAGCTTCGTCAACCATTTTTACCGAATATGGTAGAATATACTGTTAAAACTTAAATAAAATATTTTTGCCGAATGCACGATATTTCATGGGATGAACTCTAGATAATATACCATTTTTTATGAGACCTTCGCCTCTCTAAGATTATTGTCGATTACAAGCTTAGTCATCAACTTTTGCCGAATATGATAGAACATTCTATTGAAAATTAAAATTAAATATTTTAGCCAAATGCGAAATATTTCATAGTATGAATTCTAGATCTAGATCATGTACAATTTTTAATTAGACCATTTCTTCAGGCTCATGGTTGGTTCTAGGCTTAGATGAGCGATCTTGGAATTTGTTGAACTCGCTGGTCGATTATCCCATTGCGGCATTTAAACTATATCGTGACTCTTGCTGACATTTCAGGGAATGCAGTCGCAGGAGAGGCACCTCTTCCTCTTCACGGACCTCCTGCTGATCGCGAAGGCTAGAAGTGGCGGCAACTTCAAGCTGAAGCAGTCGGTACGAATGAGCGAACTTTGGCTTACGGCTGGCCATATCGAGGAGGTCGCCGAATCGAACAAATCTCAGGAAACGAGCTTCGTCCTTGGATGGCCAACCACGAACGTCGTGGCAACCTTCATGTAAGTATGACCAGAGAACAGCTTCCTGTTAATGCGTTTTGCAACCGTCAGCCGCAAGCCTTCTCCGCTAATTCCTTAAATCAATTTCCTATGCTAATTTCCCATACGTCTCGTTAATTCATCCTGGAAGACATTAAAGTATTCTCGCGTCTGCTTTTAGGACTGCAGCAGCGAGGGATTTGTGGTGGGGAAGACTCACCGAACTCGTCCGCGAAGAGAGCATGAAGGAACCTCCAGACACGAACATCCAGGTCGTGTACCACGACAACGAGACGAACACCGAATACGTAAGTTGCCAATGTCCAAAGTCCTTAATTTATACACGATAATTACGATTAAGCCGAATTTACACCCTGATAAAAATGCCCCCGTAAATTTACACACTCAAAATCGTTGGCTTAAGGGGATGTGAAAGTAACATCAAAGAGGTTTCGTTTATGAAACTTTTCTCCTAATTGGATGTACCGAATCAGTTAAAACTTTACAATGTAAATATAAAGGCTATAAAGAAGGTCCTGACGCCTATGAAGTTTCAATTTTGAGACAATTTGTTCATAGATATTTCAAAATTTTTTTATAATAAATGAAATTTTGCGAATTTTAGGACCTACCACAGGGGTTCCATATTCACGTTGTAAAGTTTGAAACGATTCGGTGCACCCAGTTTGGAGAAAAGTTTCATGAACGATTGACTCCTAAGACGCCACTTTTACATCCTCTTAATGCCACAATACGTTGCAGTAAAATTATATCGTCTCTGTAATACCATACGTAGCATCTAAGTTAAGTTAAAGGGAATTACAATATAATGTTACATGCAGTTCAAGTAAAACAATGCATCGATGCGGTAAATATACAATGTTACGTGTATTTATATATTTTTTCTGTGTGAAACATCAGTTATGATGTGTGTAAAAATGTTTGTAAATCTCCACCGATTTTTATCAGGGTGTTCGAGTGGAAATTATCGGCATTTTTAATGTGAATTAGTAACTGCAAAAGTATTGTAAAATTAATTTCATCCTTTTTGCAGTGCAAGACGATAATGGTGGGCTCCGAGATGACGGCAGCCGCGTGTGTCAACTTAGCAACTCGACTGCTGGACCTCCAGGGACCTTTTCAACTTTGGGCGAGGACGTCTTCCGAAGAAGCCCCTTACCCTCTTATTGGCCATGAAAGACCCTTCGCCGTCAAGCTGTCGAATTTACGACATACCCTTTCTGCAGAAGAGGGCTTCGACCTCGAGCACTGCAACAAGAGCGGCCACGACAATTGTCACTTCATTCTCAGGCCGGTTCTCAAGTCACCCGTGAAGAAGAACAAGTCGAAGATCACCGGTTTGCTGAGAAGATCCCTCTCTCTCAACCCGAACATTTTTGGCGTTAATTTATCTCGCCTGGATGAGAATGGATTGCCGAAACCGGTGCTGATGATGCTGCAGCAGTTGTTCGCCAAAGGTCCCTTCACGCAGGGGATTTTCAGGAAATCGGCCAATGTCAGGATCGTTCGTGAACTACGAGATCAGATCGAGTCGACTGGTGATCCGAGCTGTCTAGAAGATGCTCCCATTATCGCCGTTGCCGCTCTTCTTAAGGACTTCTTGCGATCCTTGCCGGATCCTTTACTTACTTCGCATCTCTTCCCATTATGGATGGCGAGTCTTGGAGCGGCAAATCCCGTACAGACGATGAAGAGGTTTGTCCTTGACAAAATATGTCTTTATAAAGAAATCATGCTGAAATGTGGCCGAGATAATCAAAGCGATCTAAGTAACTTTTTATTAAAAATGTAACTCACATTATTGGAACTTAAGGGCATGTGACGCAAAATATGGGTTAAATTCATTTTATTATATTTTTTACTCGGACCATTTTCGTAATTACAGGCGTAAATATGGATAGTGAAATATAGTAGAGGGAATTTAATGAAAATATTTATTTCCTTTTCAGTATTTTAGATAGACTGCCGAAAGCGAACTATACCCTGTTGTCGCACCTGATCTGCGTGCTGCATCACGTGGCGAGGCGATCGAAACACAATTTAATGTGCGCCAGTAACCTAGGAGTTTGCTGCGGACCGAGTTTGCTGTGGCCTCCAAATCCTTCGGTAGACCGAAGTCGAGACATCCCTACCTTGACCGAAATGCTGATTCGTCACTGCGAAGCTCTTTTCGGCGAAGGCGTTACTCAGCTTCTCGGAGAAGAGCGGAGCGACAGCGGAGCCGAGGAAAGCACCGACAGTTTGCACTGTGAGCAAAATTTAATCGTTACCCTCTCCGTTTCCTCTGATTTAAAATATATAATATTAGAGGTCCATAGCGATGTTCAATAAAGAAATTTCATTCAACAAGCAACTGTCAATAGTAGAGATAATATGAAGTAAATGAATTTCATTAAGGTGATGTGAAAGTGGCGTCGAAGAGGTTTTGTTTATAAAACTTTTCTCCCAACTCGGTTTACCGAATAGTTTGAAACCTTACAACGTGAATAGGGAGACTATTAGGAAGGTCCTGAAACTCATGAAATTTCAATTCTTTTCAAATTTGTTTATAGGCATTTTAAAAATAGTTTATAAAAAATGAAATTTCATGAGTTTTAGGACATATCTTAGGGTCTCCGTATTCACGTTTTAAAGTATGAAATGATTTGGGACACCCAGTTCATAGAAAAGTTTTATGAACGATTGAGCTTTCGGATGTCACTTTCACATCCCTTTAAGATGATGTGAAAGCGGCATCTGAGGGGTTAATCGTTCATGAAACTTTACTCCGAATTGAGTGTACCGAACCGTATGAAATTTTACCACGTGAACACGGAGGTCCTATAGAAAGTCCAAATACCAATGAAGGTCAATTTGTTATGGAAAATAAAAAAAGTGTTTATAAAAAACATTTAAAAAAACGAAGTATCATGTGTATCGGGACGTTCCTTAGGGCCTCTGCATTCATGAGATTAAATTTCAAATAATTCTGTACATAGTTCAAAATATGTGTCATGAACGAGATCCTTCAGCGGTCGCTTTCATGTCACTTCAAGATTTATATATTTAAAAAAGACATCGTCATGACTCGTTTCTCTCGTTGCAGCAGGTGGGCTTTCGTTGGACAGCCTCGACCTGACGGAGCCACCCCGGAAGGACCACATGTCCCTGTCTCGTGACTCCGGTCTGACCCTTTCAGACTGCCAGCTCTTCATCCCAGAATCACCTGTGGGCTCCGAAGACTCAGCAGTGAACGCCTCCTCCTCCAGTTTCGACAAGCCTCTCGTGAAAGAGGACAAATCGAACGGCAAAGCGTACATTCGTGTCTACGGAGGCTGGGAAGAAAGAATAAATTCATACACGGCAACGTCGAACCATCCAAGCTCCATGGAACATGGTTTTAGAGAGGAGAAGGTCACCAATGGCAACGGGTGCTATCCTAATCCAAACTTCCAACGACAAGATTGGCTCAGAGCGCAGCTGAAGAGGACACCTAGGACGAAACTGGACGAGCACGAGCAACGAGGAAAAGAGAGGTTCGACGAGAAAGACCTGTACGGTAGGGAGTACCTCAGACAAGACTCCATGAAAGAGAACGTGGAAAACTGCAAGGACCTCTTCAGGTCGCAGATGGACGTGTCCAGGGACCTACGAACCGAATACGAGCGATCCTCCCAGGCAGACACCTGTGCCGAGAGGGTGTCCATCCACGACTCCGAGCAAGATTCCAGTGGAGGTTCCCCAATGTCCGCGGACAGGTACGAGTTCAAGAAAGACCGCTTCAGCGAGTTCAAGAAGGTCAAGTCCGAGGTCTACGTCGGCAGCAGAGAGTCGCCGGTCTCGCAGAACGGCAGTTATCATTCCAGTGGGGATCTCTACGAGTTCAAAAAGGTGAAGAGCGAGATCTACGTCAGCAAAGACTCCAGGACAGAACGCTACGAGCACGAGAAGTCGGATGGGAACATTTATGGGAACCGAGATACGGTCAATGACGTCTATAGTTCCAGGGAGCGGAGCGATCTGTACTCCTTTAAGCAAGCCGAGGCGATAGATGTCTTTGGGGACGAAGAAGACGACGAAGACGCCGAGAGGACGTGGCCCGATACCCCTCCACCTCTGCCGCCGAGGCTCAGGCATCTGCCACCTGTTCACATGAGCCTCGAAGACAGGCACAAGGTTGCTGGAAGGTCCAGGTCCCTCCCGCCGCCTCCACCTTATCGACCTCCACCTCAGCCCAGGGCGCCTATCACGACGAGACACCTGGGGTACACCAGGTCCGTCGTCGACGATGAGAGCTATGTCTGAAAACACGACGGACCGGGTCGACCGACTTCCTGGATAATCAAAGAGCCGAGTCGTAGCCGAGACACCGACAGTTCTTCAGAGCTTACTAGGTGGAACTCGTGATCTCGGTGTGACTAAAACTAGTCGAAGCAAATGAACTGTTAGTACGAGCTGTCTACTGTCGGAGACCTCTCCGCAAGGTCGTCGTCGAAGCGCAGCGCAAGGTGTCGAGGATTTAGATCCAACTATTCTATGTATATTTCCTTCAATCAGACACGGATCTAGAAACGGGATGGAACGAAACTAGCTATGCGGATGTGGCGTCGTTTCGCTGGTACCATTGTGTTGTCAGCATCAAGAGACGCTCTCGTCGAACGATCTTATAGCGGTTATTCAGTGATTCAGGGTGCTTCCAGCCTTAACGCATAAGTCGTTAGATATCCATATAGAGACGCTACGGTTAAGACTAGATAAGACTATAAAGCGCGAACATATGACAAGACTCGAGTCGAGGCGATGTATAAGTAGGAATTGTAATTTGAATAATGTGTCCGAAGTGTTCTCGCGATTGTTCTCCTGCTACATTTGGCCGTAATTGTCAAAAGGAAATTAGTCTTAGTGTTGCCGCTGTTGATCGACCAAAAATTAAGTAATACCTCCGGGATCGAGTGCTTACATTTCGCCGATCGAGAGACGAGAAAACGTTACCACTTGTAGAGAAAAGAAAAATGGAATAGGTCGTTTTTTTTTTAATTCGTTTGCGTCGATGGCTTTATATTTAGGAGCCTACGAAGTAAATGTCTCGCGATTTCAAGACCGACTGTTGGAATTATTTTTGTTTAATATATGGTAGAGTAAAGTCAGAGGACATGTTTTAGAATTCGCAGTGTAGTTCTCTTCGACAAAGCATTCTACGTTTTAAATGGTCGAATCGAGAGTTCCTGGAGTAGCCTCATTTCGGAAATTAACGTTATCCCTCGTTTCGCAGAGGTCGGTCGAATCGATTTAAGAGCAGTCTCTCGTATAACAAAACATGACACTAATAATTACCTAACAGTTGTAACTTAATTTATAGGTATAGCACGTACAGACATTGTTGTAGAAACGATCGCACGCTGATCGCATGGATGAAGCCAAGTGCGATATTATCTTAGCGAGTACGATAGCAAGAGGATTGCCTCTAAGATTTTTAATTCTTTGTACATAATATATCTGTAAACTTTTATATCGCTGAATTTATAAACGTAAAAATATACATTACACGATGCCACTAAAATAATATGTATACTTATACCTAAATTATATATGACGAAACTATTGAAGTAAATATATTTCCTATTTTATACAGCTAACAAGTCATCCTTGTTGAACCACATGAAAATCTGAACAATCGATCTTAATTGTTATAAAAGCATTCCATTTTGTAGACTCAATTTCTACACCTTTGCCCCTGAAGATTAATAATAGCCTTAATTAGTCTACCATCAAGAAATATAAGGAGACATGACGCCTATAGTCGATTTCACAGAAAATGGCTTCATAATCGGGATCCAAGATTTTCGATTTTCGCTGATCTAACGATGTGAGCGCTACTTGCGGAAATTGAGAGAACTCCAATCTTACGGGACTAAAACATTTTTTACCGATGTAAATTACCCTAAATGCTTTTAATTTTGCAATTAAGGTACGCAAAGTGAAACGATAATCTGCGCATGATATACAGAATGTGATGTTTTTAACGCGATAAAAACTAGCGAACACGCTTATAGACGATAATTTTTAATTGCAAAGTTTCATCGAGGAGGCGGTCTTGGCACTAGATCTGGAAAAATCTGAATATCTTGGATCCCAAAAGTGGGAACGATTTCAATACATGACGTTGTATCTCCTTATACTACTTCGCGGAGTCTACCTGAACTTCACTGTGACAGTTTTTGTTTCTCACACTTCAACTTCTGGGTGGACTCCAGTTCACATTCCGTTTCATTGGGGCTAATTGAGGTTATATCTATTTCTATAATGAAAATCAACGAAGCATGGAGCTCGAGGAATTTGCGAGTCTTCAATTAGACCGGCCAGTGTTGCATGATCTCAGGGTGAGTGTAGCCATTAAACTTTCCTGGAAAAAAGTTCCCTATAATTTCCCAATTACACCTTAAACCCCCGTACATATTCCCCAGACCGAGGAGCAACTGAAAAGGCACACTTTGGACGGGAACTTGGAGCAAAAGCCAATAGAACGGGCGTTACATCTTTTAACGTAAGTACATGATTTAACATTATTGCATAAATTAAAACGACACCACCTGCGGTTGTTTATAGCCTCGCAATCCGTAGTCGTAAGGAAATAAAACGCCGCGAGAGAGGTGAGCGGCGGTCATATGAATTTTCAGCAGGCAATTAAATTTTCATGTATGTACATTTTGTGGCATGTAACCTCGTGAGTTTCGCTTTTCGCACGTGAGTTATAAACGCTAAAGTACGCATTGTCCCCGGCGACGACGCATCCTCGGCATGCTGTACACGCTGAGGGATATTTTTAGAAAGTTTTCGTAGGCGGTGAAGTCTCCTCGGATAGCTCGCTCGAATCATCGCGGCTTTACTCACCGCGATCAATTCAGGAAAGCCTTGACGACCTAACATAGCGTAATTGCCGATTGGGTACTGAGTCAAGGCTCTCCGTTTACGTAATCGAAGCGCAATTACTGCAACATATAGATATGTATAATTTAACTCTTACTCCACGATCTATCAAGCCATCTCGGAGACGCGAATGGACGCGCGGCGTCACCATCGGTGAGTTTTTACGCGCGAAATCACGACCGACCAATAGGAAGCTCAACGGTCAGTTCCCATTAAAACGATTTTTTGCCGCGTCTCTGCAAAATTACATGCAGCAAAACGCCCGGATTAATATGCAATTTTGTCTCCGTTATTCATATTGGATATCCCAATCTATTAGAACGTTTTGCTGCACGCAATTTTGCAGCAATGTTACGAGTGAAAAGGTAGCTTAACTCAAAGGAAAAAAGCACCGACAGGTGGCCAGGGGGTTGATTTTGTACTTTTGGTAAGTCCTCACTTCTTGCACTTTCATCTCACTTGAATCTATTCATCCGATTTTGTACCTGCCGAGTGAAAATACGAAATCCCTAGACTGAAAACATGATGGACAACGTTTTAAGAATAGCGTACCATATATGTGCCAATACCACTGCAGTTAAAGAACGGTTTGAATTTATAACTCACATTGTACATACAAACGAAGAATTACGAGAAGTTCTATGCGCGACATAATTCAGAGATGAAAATTAATTTTACAGAACGATAACAAATATGACTTAATATTCCGTTAAATATTATGACTATGAAATTGAAAATTGGTTGACCGCTAAAGATGTCTAAGATATAGTTAATGCAAAAATCCCAAGAAAAGTTATTCTAGCAGCCATTCGCGAATTAATGTTTCTCTTGCATTTTCGTGCAAGTCAAACGATCAATTCCCCAGGCCCACCACGAGGAGGTTGCTGCTCAATGGGGCCTATCTAGGAACACTAAACCGTCTACCTAGACACTCATCGTGTCACCTATCCGTTACGAGACTTGAGATGTCACCATGGGATTTCGCTCATTTCTTCCCTCGGGAAGAAATGATTTTAAAACTTGCTTAAATATTTAACTTTACAATATCTTAACCTACTCGAGAGACCACTTTCGCCAGGAGCAAGAAAAAGTTTCTGTCAGAAGGGTCTAAAGTATTACTTTCGACACAAAAGCAGTTCTTAGTAGTGCAAGCGACCGTACAACCCGACAACCGGCCGCAACGCACGCTTCATCTTGTCGACCGCCAGGGGGAAGTGCGCGCCGCATAGTGGAACTCAGATGGCACAACCTTAGGGTTGTTCGTTTTGCCTACACTTTCTACACTTTTACGAAAAGTGTACACTTTGGCGTTCGTTTTGCGAGTGAATATACACCGAGTGTACACTTTCTCTACACTTTTTACCCTCGATCCCGAGCGAGTGCAAGAAGGGTAGTCCGCGAATTTGGCGGTAAATTTCAAAATTGAAAAGACCAACAAACAGGAAAATATCAAATTTATGGTAACATCTCAACGTAATATAAATAGAAGTAAATATTAATGCACCTTCTTCATGTATAGAACGCTTTAGCGTTTTAGTTTTGTACATAATGTTTGAAAAAATTTACAATAATTATGTATTACTACGTAACCGCGGTTGGAATGAACTAAACTATAATTTTTCACTGTTGTAGTTAAATTGTTTTTCATTCTACTGCAATAATATTGTGATCCTTATTGATCCTCAATACCTGAAATTCGTGAAAGGAATTTTCATCTTCTACAATTACAAGATAATAGAACGAATTGTAGGATTTGAAGAAAACGAAGACAGCTCAAGAAGGAAGGCTGGAAGAAGCATTACTTTTTCGTATTCATCATTGTCCGATACAGATAACCTCAAAATCGCGTACCTCTCTACTTAATCGGTCATCTTGGACTTTCGTGAGGTTTCTGGTGTTCGGGACGTCGATGAAAGTGTATCTACCCTTCTGCACTTTTCAAGGAAAGTGTAATACACTCGTTGCCCTCGAGTGTAGAAAGTGCAGTCAACCCGAACAAACCTCTTGCATGTCGCAGCGACGCGACACACTTTGCACCACCAACAACTGCAGACACTAACGGCACGAACATTGTCATGCCAGTAAATTCTACCGTAACGCAAAATGCAAAAACAAAAACACTCGACTTTAAGTATGGCGCAAAAGCAATCGTTAATAGTGCAGACGAGCATACGACCCGACAACCGCGCGCAACGCACGCTTCACCTTGTCGACCGCCAGGGGGAAGTGCGCGCCGGAAAATGGTAGTCAGATGGCACAGCCTCGCATGTCGCAGTAGAACCACGTCACACTACGTACCGCCAACAGCTGCAGACTGTAAAGGTGTGAATAGAATTCACGCCTGCAAACTCTACCGATTCGCAGCAAAAGTAAATCTTGCTCTGGGTCCAGTGGTCCATGAATAGAACATTAAATGCAACGAGGTTTCTTCCGCAACCGATACCAAATTTTCGAAGAGACTTGAGATCCTCGCCATGGGGAGGGTGTCTCCAAAGGAGAGGAAGCTAATCGAACGATATTAATTGGCTGCATAATAGAGGGTAGGGTTGGTTCTCATTATTCGGATGAATTTCATTCACTCGGAAATGTTATTAACGGTTGGGGAATTAAAACTTGTTTTCCAAATTGGAAATTCCAGATTTTGTCCTGGAGGGCAAATGCGAGTTTCACACGCGGACTTCCGATTTAGGTTTTAATGTTGTTAAAAAATTGAAAAATATGTATATGCAACTATCAGCTACTCTCTGTTGCTACTCGTTGACATAAAATGGGATTGCGTTGTGACGCGTCACTCGGTCTTTTACGCATTGTAATTAACAAAAAGAAAAAAATAAAGAATCAGGCCAGACAGGAATGAACTAAAATCGGAGAGTTGCTCCCCTTTAGCATTTTCACTAGATTCGAATTACACAATCGACCCCCAGGTGAAACATAATTAATGTCAGGTATTGTAGCAACGCTTCATTGTACTCTCCGTCTGTCGAGACCAGATCTTCTCTTTTCACTTGTCGTAATAATGATGATAACAATGTTTAATCACGTTTCATAGAAAAGAATAGAGGGCATCTTCCTGGACATGACATCTTGTACAATTTCAAGAACCCCTGGGATTTTTATCGTGTCATTTCATTGTAAATGGTATGCTGAAACGCAAATGGAAATTTGTGTAGAATTATTCATAATAATGTAATTAAAGGGATAATTAAATGGGTATAAATATTGCGCAATGTGGCGTGCAAGGGGCGGGTAAGAGAAATGTATACAGTATGTCTCAGAACTCGTAGTAATCCCTAAAACTGTAGAAATTAATAAAATATGAAGTGGAAACATTTTGATTTTTCCCTCGGGTAGTTATTTACCGAGTCATTAACGATTAAGGTTAATTAATCTCGAACTTATATACGACGCTCAGCGCGCGTCCCGGACACTCATTTTTTCACACAATTTTTCTCTCATCCTCAAATTAATGACAATAATTTAAGTACTACAACTTGAGTACCTCTGAAATCGCATGTCGGAACTAATTAATGCGTTACTAATTAATTAAATCATTTAATTCTCGGATGTGAGTCTAGCCTCTGCGCCGATGCTAGCTCGTTTGAATTCCATACCCGAGATGGGCAACTTTAATCGTTAATAACTCAGTAAATAATGCTTTAAGAGAAAAATTAAAGGGCCTTAAATTTCACCAACCATCAATTTTGGGGATTATTTGGGACACCCTGTATGGAAGTCTCTCGGTTTGTCCCCTGCCTCGCCTCCCTCTTCTTCTTGATTAGACAGGCTTGTAGCGGGGGCATCTTGGCGTAAGACTTCGGCCACTTTCGGGCACGTCCGGCATCGCTCGGGCGCAGTCGCCCGTACATTATGTGCCGGATAACACGGGTTCCGATTTAGTTGTCATCGGTCTCCGTTGCGTTTGGTTGTGCCGTTTCTCCCGTGTTAATCGTTTCTCATTGAAATGAATGCACAAACGTCTTTGCCAAGGTGCAGGCTCTTGGGATTCTGTTATATTCACGGATAAAATGACCCTTCGAGATGTGGCAAGAAGAAGGCGAACCTCCGTTTGAGAGTGCTCTCGACGAGTAAGTATGATGATCTCCGCCGTGGAGATGCAACTGCAATCGATGATGACTTTATCTGTCCCTTCGGCGCACTAAAAATACATCGGGTTGGTTGAGCATGTGGATACCGGAACGGTGAACCATACTCGTCAAGCGAGACGTTCGTCCGTTCAAGGCCAAGGATTCGTGTTTTAGGTTATCCACAACTAGTATTTACGATGCTGTGTAGGACACTCGCATAGATGGATGCACTAATTGCATGCAAATTGTATCTCGAACGCATTACGTTTATCCCCTCTCGGGGACAGATCTTTGCGTGAGCAATCGGCGTGATTCTAAGAACGTTCAGGGACAGTTTGCTCTATTTACCATATCTACTGTCACTTGATTATTATACTCTGGAACACTGGATGTAGTTTTGAAAAAGGCTGACTTAATACTTCTTTTCTTTCTTATTCGAGTATGACGCATGTTTTGTAACTTTGTTCGATGAGATCGTGTCATCGATTGCGACAATTATACAGTTGAACTTCTCCGCCTGATCGGGTAAATAGGTAACTGTATTGTGGAACCTCCATTCTGGCCGAGACTCATTTGAGTTGAGGTATTATTAGCACATCGGCCCCACCTGTGAATAGTTTCGTTACGTTAGTAGTACTTTGAATCTAATTTGAATAATGCTTATTTCAGGAAAGGAGATGACATCCAAAAGTTGAGTGTCATACAGACTTTGCCCAACCTCTTGGCTACGGACGCCCAATCATGTATAACGAGGGTATTACCCAAAGTGCAGCAAACTCTGCAGTTTGCTTCCACGGAGTTCCATGTAGCTGCTTCATCCACCTTCAAAACGATATTGGAACAACGGCTCGTCAGTCATACAATCTTTACGCAAACGTTTCTCCATGGCATCTTAAGTTCGCTAGACAGCCGAGACCCACGTAATATGATCTTCTCTACTTACTTTTTATTTTTACAATGGCACAAATTTTAGTATCTTTGTACAATGATATAAACATGTTTAATTATAGTCGTAGCTCATGCATGGTTGGAGACCTTACTGGACGTGATCGAGTTACTATCCATAGATGTTATAAGACAAGAGGTAAATAACAAGTTTTCTTTGCTGAACATCAGTAGTTAACTTCTAACTATTTGACAAGAAGGAAGACCGCCTATTTCAGTTTTGCTTGACATACAAAACAGAAAAAATGAATTCCAAAGTGTTGATTCAGAGTTTCGATTCTGTACATTGTGTTTCATTACATTGCACTAGTGTTTTAGATAAATGTAATTAATCAGTTTAATTGTTTTACTTTGTTTTGTACAGATTCTTCCAATAGCTATAAACAAAGGACAACTATCTCAGCCCATCAGTTCGAGAATAATGTGCTGCAAGTTGGTTGGAAAGATTTGCACTCGATTTGATCCTGCTATGTGAGTATTAAATATTTATATTCTTATTTTTTACTGTAATCGAAAGCGTTTAGTAACTGGATATTACATTATTATTTTGGTACTTTATTGGTATATAGTTGTACATTAAATTAAGTCTGTATAAAATATCTTTCAGGATTAAAAAAGAAGTCTTACCAACCGTGCAATCTCTTTGTCAAGATGTAAGTAGCGAAGTGCGTGCATGCATATGTTTGCAGCTTCGTTACGTTGCTGAGGGTCTGGGGACCGAACATTTAAAACCACTATTGCTCCCATCTCTTGTGGAATTAGCTAGTGATGAAGAGAGTATAGTAAGACACGCCTCTGTACAGACAATAGTACACTTGTTGCCTCAGCTTCATCAAGGTAAGATAAATACTTTCATAATTATGCACTTTTAGAGTTAATAATAATACACTGCCATTTTCAGAAACAATAAAGGGTATTATAATACCGCTTGTGAGAAAACTATGTGAAAGTGCTCTTAAATCGGACGATAATGTGGTTTGTGTGATTTCTGAGGGATTTGGCAAGCTTGCCCTCGGCCTCGAAGGTGAGAACATTTTACCAATAAGTGAAAATTAATAGAAACATATTGAATGTAAATTCATTATGAATATTAATTCATTTTTATAGAATCCCTACAACCACCCGAAAGGGCCTGGTTTCTAAGATATTATCAACAACTTGCGCAAATGGGAATACCATCCATGAAGAAAGAAAATACAAAACAAGATTTTCCTTTTGTGAGTTAACGGAACATTTGCATTTTTAATAATACGTAAAAAACAACACTTCGAGGATTCTTCACTAAAATTATTAGATCTTCCTAACCCGTTGAATTCAATGGTACGAGTAGAACTCGTATACATATACTTTATTCAATTTGTTAATGGGTTTAAGAATTATTCTCTGAACATTATCACGCTGTTTCCTTTAATTGGATTTTATTTTTCCAGGTAAGCAATGACCCCCTCGTGAACGAAACATACGTGGAATGTCGCAGACAATGTGCTTTCAATATTCCTGCAATGTTTGTCTTTGTAAGTGGCTTTGTAACGCCAGACGAACTAAAATCATTGCTCGCGACATTTACTGATTTAGCAGGAGATCCTTATTACATGGTTCGGAGAACTATTGCTTGTGGCATTTACGAGGTAAGAACTAATAACGTATTAGTAATAATGAAAACATCAATTTTTTTCGATGCGTTTCATCCTGTATTGCATCGTGTAGGTTGCAAAGGTTTTACGATCACGTAACGCAGCCATAAGGGCAGTATTAGTAAGGTTACTGAAAGATGATTCCGAGGAAGTATTGCAAGGTTTGGTTCCTCACATAGCAGGAACGCTAGAATTGTTGGTGCAAAGTCACTCGATTGGAACTGGACAAATGGTAACTTTATTACATTATGCATCTGAATTAAATTAATTAATGGTCATCTTTTTCATACAAATTTGCTTTTATTACCCCAGGATTCATCGGTTGTTGAATTAGGACGAGCTTTATTAAAATGCGAAGCTGTAATAGCGACCACGCACAATTGGCGACTTTCAGCGTTGATGTTCGAACAGCTTGAGACATTGCCAAAATGTTTTCCAAGTGATTTCATTTATACCTATTTTGTTCCTACGATTGTGACAAGAGCATTGAACGCGGTTAGTTTTAGATTTAATAGTGTGAATTATTTGATGGCTGTACATTTATGATTATATATTTTTTTTTTATTACATCGCAATTTATTACTTACACAATTATTACATTTTAGAGGCCAAATCCAGTTCGATTAGCTGCTTGCAGAACGTATCTTACTTTTCTAAGGTACAATCTGAAGACCATGCAAAGGACTGAACTTCGGAACAGAATCTACACGGATTTTGCTCGCAGTCAAAATTGCTATGTCAGAATGTTGTTCATCCGTATGATGATAGAAGCTATGGTGATATTCTCGTCTATATACTTCAGGGAATACTTTTATACCACACTACTCAGCTTGACCGAAGATCCTGTGGCAAATGTCAGGCTGAAAGTAGCCACATTGTTACCTACGTTAAAAAGTATCCTGCAACTTCCTACTGACAAAAAGCTTCTGGCTACGTTAGAAGCGAGTGTCCGTAATTTAATGAATAATGAAAAAGATAGAGACGTAATTGCCGCTCTGACAAGTGCGATACACAAGATGGATGGAATCGATATTAAATATGAAAGACAATCGGTAAATTATTATCTTAAAAGCGTAACCTACTGACAGCACCTTTTGCAGTAGTTCTAAATATTTTTTTGAATAATACTTTGCAGACTCAAACCAAAGTACACAAACTCGATAGCGAAGATTTGCGAAAATATGAGGAGGAGAAACTATTGGCTGGAATGGTTCCGAAGAGGTCGAACATGGTGCCACTCATGTCAGGAACTGGAAAGGTGGGACGGAAGCAACAAACTCAAAAAATGGGTCAGTATAACATTATTATTTTTAAGTGGGGAAATTGCATAATACGAGTGTTAATATTTATGTTGCATTGTTAGATGGGCAGGGAAGAATAAGCAGTGGAGAAATTCATACATCGAATGGTGGAAAACAAAGCGAACCTCTTTCGATGGAAACTGTATCGAGATCTATGTATGTTCATCGTAGTGGTATTGTTAAAGCATGCATTTTCTGATGGTGCATAGACCCAAGAAAGAAATGACATTGTTACTTAAAAGAGTCATGTCTGCATTTTTTAGGTCGCAACAACCTCTGACCAGGGGAAGACCATCCTCAATGAGTGATTCCATGAGTAAGTTTTCGAACAAACGTAAGCAATTTTTTAAAATGGTTAACAGTCGTTTAATGGAAACAAAAGTCGCGTCGTTTGAATCACAAATTATTTCATATACGAATATACTTTTTTCTGTTACAGAGAGCGCAACTTCTAGACCATCGGATGTGTCAAAAGCAAGGTACGCAGGCGTACAAAAATCTAGCCACATTACAGTCTTAGACGGTATCTTAACAAAACGTAAAGTTTTGTACAAGACAATAAGTGTTCAAATTAAGAGACAGGAAACCAAGAACCGTTTGCCTGTTTCGCGTTCTAACGTCCTAGCTTTTACTACGTACGTTACCATATCCCTACCTTCGTGACATAAAGCACATAAATTGCATCGTAAGTCAATGTCATATGGAGGTTCATGGGAAATGCAGCATCCACGGGAGACCCTCCTTCCTCCGTGCATGCGATGACGCGAATCCGAGATATGTATGCATGATCGGAAAAGATATGTGCATGAATGGTTGGGAATACTAACGAGACCTATAAGCCATCCATGTGCTTTTAGTACTTCTAGCGACAACTTAACATCGAGTTGGGCGCGTCTCACGTCCAACAGCACCTTACTAACGCACCCCTGGGAGAGACTCGGCCGATCCGCTTCTAACGTTAGCCTAAGCTCAGTTAACCCCGCCGGAAGTTCGTGCAATCAATACGATTTGCAAAAGCCCCAGTGCAACTGCTACGAATTGGTGGGACGGCTCGTGCAAACGCGTCTTGCCATGTCGAACCCAAGCGAGCAGGACTATAAAACCAAAGTCTCTCGGTGTCCCTGCTTTAACGCGGACGTGGACTGTCCGAGGACGAGCGGGCAATCGAGCCAAAAACACGACTACCCTAGCCCCGACTTAACTAAGTCATTCGTACTAACCCAATTAAAGGGTGAAAAGCAAGAGTTCCTACAGAACTTTTTACTTACGAGGGAGAGCTTTGATAGTAAAGATAAGGGCCCGGACCTGGCCGCTCTTCGCGCCCTGACCAACGCCGCTCACTACAACTCTTGTTGGGCTTTTAGCTCCATGCCTGAGATACCCGTCACCCTGCTGGACGACGAGTTTCTCGTAGACGCTGGAATCCGCATCCCGTCCCAGCTGTCGACCAGCCAGAGCACCTCGAAGATACCTAATCTCCAAGACATCATCTACAGGAATCGAAGGGAAGGAAGCGCCGACAGGTCGCGGAGGAGCAGCGCCGTTTTCGATAAGGGGAAAACTAAAAGGCACTCGTCCGAGTACGAGGACTGCATCAAACTGAGGACCACTGTCATAGATCCAACGAAGGGCGACAGGAATTCGGTGGATTTCGAGGATGGATTGCGCCAACGGTCGTCTAAGGAGGATCAGCTGTTCGGAAAGTCGGAAGCCAGATCGAAGAGGTACTCGGCTGGAGTTCCTCCGGAAAAGTCCCGATTCGGCTTTGAGACGGGTCAGATGAAGTCTGCCGATGACAAGTTCAGAAGGAACTCCATGGTCTTGGAGAAGGATAAGTCGAAGGCTAGGAATGAGACCCAACCCAGGAGTGTCGTTGACAGGAGTAAACGTCATTCCGTGATTTACAACAGCACCAAGTTCGTCGATACGAAGGACGTGAAACCGAAATTTAAACGACATAGCATGGAGGTCGTGGATTTTGCTCCTGTTGACAGGGTCGTCCGAGCTTCTAGGAGATACTCTACGTTGGATGTTAACCATAATCAAGGCTCTAGTAAAATTCCGTTGAGAAACTGTATCTCACATTCTTCGTCCGGTAGTAGAACTGCACCTTCCACTAGAGCTTCCAGCCCGACCAGACCTGTGGTACATTTGTCTTTTGATTTGGACAGAAAGAGTCTCCAGAGCTCCGCCAGGGAACGATTTCTTAGTAGATTTAGCTCGAGCGACGAGGAGGTCGATAAGCTTTGCCAAAAAATTATACATTGCCAGACGGCACCGCCTAGTAGGGCTTGCAGCCCTAGGACCAGAGATAGTAGGCTACCCGTTCGACTGCAAAGGAAAAAACTCTGAAATTTGCATTTCTACGGTTCATTGCTATTTAATCGATGCATTTATTTTGATTCGAGATACTTCACATTCGTTTGGTTAACATTGATGAACTCGGTCGACGTTAATTGATTGCCTTGTAAGGAACTTGCCTGTAATTAAGATTCAAGAATGTGCAGAATTAAATTAGCAACACAAGTCAACACCAAAGGTGAAGATCTCTGGGTTTTATACGAATGGCCTATCTTTTGAATCATGCAAGTTCCATATTTAGCAGACAATTCGTATGAATTTTGTTGTGCAATATTATCATTGAATATTGTAAACGTGTTTTCTATTTTGAATTTAAATTTTATTCGATTGCATATCCATTGGTGGTGATTATCATTGATTAACGTAATTTTAAAGAAAGAAGTTTACTCGTCTTTGTGTATTTACTTGCTTGGCAAAAAATTGATTCGAGAAACGAACAGGGTATTTGAAAAGGAAAAAAAGAAAAAAAAAATGAAATTTCAAGTACCGTCTATTTTACGCTGCCTCGTTCTTACCAACGGTACTTACCATAATTTCATGCCATTATTCGGAGCCGTCTACTTGTGAATCCAAGATCTAATTTATTCTATTGTACTGCACAGTATTTCAGGAGATAGTTTTGCCTATCTGATTTCTGACTGTATATTTGCAGGATAATTTATACGAAGGTCATTTGCATGAGTCATTCGTACACAATTCCGTTACCATAGGCCTTACTTACCATTATAACTGAGCTTCCGTAATTTGAAAATCGTTTACTTTAGTTTCTCTTTTATCTTTTAAGCGCTACGCGTTGGCAACACCAAAATTCAATCGAAAACGTGAACCGGAAGACTGTTAAATATGAAAAATGAAGACGATTAATATTAAGAGAGATTATGCGAGCTATTTTTATTTTCTTAGATGCGATTAGTGTAATTGGCCCGATAGTTTCTTTGAACGGGGCCTGAAACTTGAAATAATAATTAGTAAAGTACTGGTATAATCGAATTCTGGCTGAAGGACATAACAAAGAAGATGGGTTTTTTCAAATTCAGGCCCTGGTACAAGTCACAATTACTGAAGCAGCTGATGCTATTACTGTCGTAAGGTAGATTCTAATGCGCTAGGTAGACTTATTAGTTACAGTGCGTAATATTCCAGTATTGGAGCAATTAGTGTAGGTTTATGCTCGACTAGCCATCCCTGATATTTAACAAACTTTTGAATATAAGGGATATCTATGAATAACGGCACTAGTCTATGGATAAATTTAAATATAAAAATGTATAAAAAGAAAGCGAGCAGTTACTTTTCGAAGAGACTCGCCACTAGCTCGACATATTAGCGATTACTCCGTCTACAAATAATTATTGCGGTATAGCTTGGATCTTATTATTGCAGTTAAAATATTTTATTAATTATTGTTAATTTCACGGCCTGCAATTCTACGACCTGGCCAAGGCGTGATGTATACCATTTTACTCGAGAGGAAAATAGTTTTATATGCTCACGAAAAAAAAAAAAAAGAAAAAAGAAAGAAAAGAAATGTTTACTTTAACTGTCTTGTATTCGAGATGCAGCACTGATATTAATGATTTAGTTACCTATGGAATAGGCTCACTTTTCCTTGTAAATGATAGAATATGAGAATATTTCAATTACGATTAATTCCTTTCTGGAACAACAAAGAGTTAGAACGTTGGACTACTAACTATATAGAATAGTCCCATGACTGCCCTGTGGATCATCCCTCACTATCAATTTTAATCCGATTCCTGTAACAGTTTAAAAGCATGAGCAATATTAGAGATGTCAACGAATTCGTTAAATGTTTGTTACCTTACAATGAATGCAATAATTCTTGCTTACATTTTCAACGAAGCGCCCGTAAGAATTGAACCAATCGATCGTATCGCCAAAGGGGAACCAAATGACATTAATTAATTTATTAAAGTGTATTCCCTTGTTACTGAAAAGAAAGGGTTCTAAATATTTAATAAAACGCATCAGAGCTATCCAAATAGCGAACGTTCTACCGTTCCGACAAAAGGAACAATGTATAGAAATTAAAAGTACCAGTATTCATGGTAAACCTGGGAAAGTTTATATTTAATTAAAAAATACATAATCGATCGGTCCGATTTCTCGCGCGCACGCGTTGCATGTAATTATTCGTTCATTAAATCAATGAAGACACCAAAATGTGCTTTGGGATGATCTCCTAGGCCCGTTAATATTAAACAAAGGTATATCGTTAACAGTAGTAAGGGGCACTAGTCACGTACGCTCCGTTAACCGAAGAACAATGTATACTAAAGTCGTAACAATAAATTATATATTTGTGCAGCACAAGACCTGCGTCCACGAAGAGGTCATGATAATAGATTATCCGAAGAGGGTAAATGGCTGCGGATTGCGAACATGATAAGTCCGTAAAGGAGGTCTGTAAAATAAAGGTAGAGAAGTCTAGAAATCTCGTTTCATGAAACAACCACAGGGCCATTTTTTTTTTTTCATATACCGAACTACTGTGGTGTTGAGAACCCACGTTCGACTGGAAACTTCATCCACATCTTCTCTCACGTCTAAGAACGTGCAAAATTATTATTAAAGAAAGTCTGACACGGTGATAAAATGTAGAAGCATAAGCTTAATCGCGTAGACGAAGACGAGATACAATATTGAACCGTATTTATGTGGTTTGGAGGTGATCATGGATCGCGAAGACGACTTCGCAATGGCGTAATCGAACTAGATCGATGAGCTTAAGGTGAAGTGATACACGTCGAGAAATTTGATCGACATCGGCAAACAGGATTCTTCTAAATGCCTACGTTACCAACGTTCATATCTGTATAGACAACTTTTCCGAATTATACGGGGTATTGTACTAAATGGCATACTCAATATGTTCTTTCCGTACAATAATTATAAAGACATCTAAGGGAAACTCCAGAAATCCCATGGATTCGTGGTTTTCGATGCCCTAATTGGCTCTAGAGTGCCACCCTGCGCCATCTGTGATTTTACTGTCAACTAAATTTTCTCTCCGAGGCCTCGCGTTAACTTCGTTTTAGCACAGAAGCGCGTAAGACACTTTTTTGCCTCTATATCATTCAAATGCGAGTTTCTCGATTTCTAGAGTGTTCCAAATCGTTAAACAATTGTCCTTACACTTTCGTTTTTCATATCGAGCCTTCAATTGTATATCGAACGAAATGTGAGAGGTCGACGCCTTTCTTTTTCCTTCGAAAACCCAAATTTTGAAAGTGTCAGGATAATTAAATGCTCACGAGTCATGTGTCAAAGTTTCGGACCCTTACCAATACCCTTAAAAAAAAGTGTCTTTTTCGAATCGACTGATTTGACGGGGGGGGGTTCACTTCACCTTAATGAGTTTTGTGCTGTGACGAGAAAGAGAAAAATCAATTCGACGCACGTATATTGATTGTAAAGCTGCGACCCTTTGTTTCCACATATAATACATGCTGTCATTTTTACATAGTTCCTTCATTGAGATGCGGTTGTAATTAAAGTGCTTCTTCAATCTGCCACACGTCGTGCCATTTTGCGCCGTTATTGTGATTTCGCAAAGAAGAGTAATTAAGAGTAAATAGTCGGAATTACCGCAATTAGACGTTGCTCTTAGACGACGGGGTATAATAAAGGGGTAATGGTAATTGTCGTATCGTGTATTGGGAGAACCGATCAAAAGGGACGGATCATTGAATATTCCATTTATTTTTGTATAGATCTACAATAATACTATCGTTTGGTGCCAGAAAGGAAGTAAGAGATTAATGTATTATTAGAGAGACGTTATATACGTATATATATATAACAGGGAAAATATGTATGTATTTAAATGTTATTTCGAGTTGGTATGTAGAGATTAGTCACTTTTACTATGGACGGAGAGGTCCCGACGGATCGTTAGCGTCGTTATAATTAAACCCTGAATGATCGCTTGCTGTATTTAGCACTAACTTATATTACAGCGAGAGATACACTTCAGATCTTACTTTCGAATCACTGTGTAAATTATTCTTCGTCGAAATTTAACGAACTCCGTGTAGCTTTCAGGAATATATTCATTTCGAAGGTCTTTCGAACGCAGGGATTATATCCCCCGCGAGAAACTAAATTTACGGATGTTATATTTTATCCAATGATCTTTAAAAATCTAATATCTCTATGAATAACTATCGAGTAGAGTTGTTCTCTTGCAAAACTACTTTCCAACTCTTCCTAAGATGTCGCACGGGATATTCGATACTTCGTAGATTTAATTTAACCGCACGATGGTAGATCGTGAGGAAATATCAAAACCTTTTCGTATCGTACCTCTGTCTAGCTGTCTGTAAGTTTTATTTAAACCAAATCTTACGGATAATATCACAGGGCACTAAATTTAAATCCTTCACTGTACACACACCGCACTTAGTTAATAAAATAAATTTCTGTTTTCCTCAAAACCTGCGTCTTTACCTTATTCCCAACTTTTAAGGTGAAGTGAAACACGTCGAGGAACCTGATGGACTTCGGTAAAGAAGATTTTTCTAAATACCTACGTTGCCGACGTTCGTTTTTATATTGACTGCTGGGTCGAATTATATTGGGTAATGCACTAAATGGCATACACCACTTGTCGTTTTCGTTCAATAATTATAAAGGAATCAAAGTAAAACTCCAGAAATTCACGGGATTCATGCTTTCTGGGGCCCTAATTCATTGCAAAGGGACACCCTGCGCCATCTGTGATTTCCAGGTCAATTCATTTTTCATTCCGAGACCTCGTATTCCCATCGTTTTGGCACAGAAGTGCATAAAACACTTTTTTTGCCTTTATCCCGTTCAAATGCGAATTTATCGATTACCAAAGTGTTCTAAATTGTCGTAAAATTGTCCTGACCCTTTCGTTTCTCATATCAGATAATTGTATATTGATCGAAATATGAGAGCTTCACGCCATTTTGACTCTGGTCTGGGCTGTTAAAAAATTTTTTCAAAAATTCCAAATTGTAAATGGATCAGGACAATTCTTAGATGATCAAATGTGTCAAAGATGTGTCAAAGTTTCAGACAGTTTGGTCTAATACCCTTCAAGAAAAGGGTTGTATTCGAATCGACTGATTTGAAGGGGGTTTTACTTCACCTTAACGTGATATGAAAGAGTCAGCCTATATATACGTATATATATCTGATAAGAAAGGTATCCCAGGTCAATCTCTCCGATTTGATTTCTTTTATAATATGTTATAGTAGACTAAAAACTAAGCGACACGTATTTTTTTTTATCTGCCATTAAACACTTTAAGGGGGTGAAACCACCATCCAAAGTAAGGCCTGTGAGGGGTGGCTCACCCCTTAATTTTTTGTTTTTAATTGAGGAAATTATATTTTTCATTTCTCGTTACGAGACAGCTTTTCCAGGTGGATTGGTTAAAAAATATTATGTTCTTGTGAGTGAAACTGCCAAATCGCCCCTTGACATGCCTTACTTTGGATGGTGGTTTCACCCCCTTAAAGTGTTTAATGGCAGATAAAAAAAAATACGTGTCGCTTAGTTTTTAATCTAGTATAATATGTTATAAAAGAAATCAAATCGGAGAGATCGACCTGGGATACCTTCCTTGTGAGAAGTCAAATCGTTGGGGAAAGTATTCTCTGAATTGGGCGTACCGATTCGTTTCAAATTTTACCACGTGAATATCGAGGCCCTGAAGTAGGTCCTGAACCTCATAAAATTTCATTTTTCATCAAAAATTTATTTACTTATCAAGGACTAGAACCAACATGGAGTGGTCCGTGCACATTTTCGATGTTTTACGCTTCTTGGAGGCTTAGAAAATGTGGTAAATACATTCAGCAACGATTGCAAGAGAATGCTGGCTTGTCCTGCGGCAAACATGTGTTTTTGGAGCAAAAATTTAGTTGCAACTCAACGTCACAGATGGCGATGTTGGTCCGTCAAATATAAAGTCATGAATTCATGGAATTTCGATACTTGTATGTCAATCTTTTTATCATTACTTTACCGAAATGACATATGAAACCCTTCGGTTCGTATAATTCTCAACGTAGACTGTAAAAGACTTCAACATAAATATAAATGTCGGTAATGAAACGCACCAGCTTATGTTACCACTTGAGTATTCAAAACGGCATAACCACCAAAAAGGGTATAGATGAATTTTATTTTATCGACGTCGATTAAATTTCTTAGCGCCTTTCATGCCCTCTTAAGACCAATATGTTTCCCCTGCTGAAAAAAAAATTGTTGGGTTACAGTACGATATCAGGAAGGAAACTGAAATGATTAGATTGTAACGGAGCATTTTCAAATGTCTTTATTTTCACTAACCCTTTCGGTAAATCAAAGGCAATAGTTAATAAAATAAACTTTGCTGTCCTCTAAACCTGCGTCATGTTACTTCCAATTCTTAAAGGAATTTTAATAACATGAATCACCATCACAAAAAAAAATGGCATTTACGATTCGATATCAAGCGGGGTGGAGGGTCCAAAAACTACAACCGAGCATTTTTAAATATCTTTATTTTCACTACCCCTTTAAGTAAATCAAAGGCTTGAGCCACTACAATTTGCATGATTTTTTTTTGTTTTTTAATGTCCTTACCGTTATAATAAGTCAATCGCTTGATTTAATCTTCGATAGAAAAGGTTAGAATAATTCCGCATTCGAGATGAGATGCACGACGCCACGTTGGGTGGCACGAAGACGTAAGCTCTATTTATATCTTTTCTTTTTTGTATCATATAAAATCTGATTACTCGTACCATCGAGTCGGTCCTCGCTTTTCGCGACATCTAACTGTCTTTAGTATACGTGATGGCTTATCGATTTGCGGGAATCATTCGACGCCGAATTTTATTCTAATATTTACGGACCGTGCTCGAAACTTTTCGCCGCCGATCACGAGACAAAAACGCGTGGGTACAATTTCTACTTTTTTTTTTTTTAATTCGCAACGGTCTTCAAAATCACGTACAATATATCTAGGAGTAAAACGTGTTCGGCGGTAAAGAAGGGCGATATGAAAATAACGTGGACCTCCGGGGATTCTCTCGTTGAAAAATTCACGGGGGAAAAGTATCGTGTACTCATGTGAACGGATTGTCAAAGGAAATGGTTATCCGCTTAATAATGTACATACGCAAGACTACACCCTAATGGAATATCTCACTCCCTAAGTACTCGATACACGTTTCTTTGAGTTATATATATATGTAAGTCGTTTAGAATAGCAGCTGCAAGTCGGCGCGACTCTTCTGGTCGCGTCTTGAACGGTACACGTCTTGAACAGAATTCGATGAACGGAAGTGACCCT